AATATGAATATAAATATATATAAATATAAAACATTTTGTAAACAATTATTAACTATCTTAATAAAAATTTAATCATACACCTTTTTGAAAAATTCAAGAAAATTATGATAAAAATATATTCATAAATTATTTGTTTATATTTAGAATGGTTTTATAATTAAAATAGTAAATGGTACTTGTGAATAAATATATATTGTTATTAAAGTAAACAAAATTAAAATTAATTAAAGTATATATTTACTTTATTTAATATTGATTAAAAGAATTAATAATTATCAGTTTAAGGAATTTTTGCAGTTGTATATGTATAGGTATATTTATTATTTTGATTCCAGTAAATAATTAAATAATAATTTTTTTTGAGAAATTTAAGAAAAATATGATTATAAAAATTTATATATATTCATAAATTATTATGTTTAATATACGTATTTAATTAAAATAGCAAATGTTAATTGTAAATAAATATATAATGTTAATAAAAAAAATAAAATTAAAATTAATTAAAGTATATATTTATTTAAATTAATAATGATCTAAGGGTTTAATAAAAATTCGTTTAAGAAATTATCCTAAAAATGTTATTATTAAAAAATATTTATAGTTGTATATGTATATATTTATATTATTTTGACTTCAGTAAATTCTTACTACTTATTTCAGTTATTATTTTTATTCCTTAAGATAAAATGTTTTACTAAACAACAAATATTATCTCTTCTTCTGATTTAATTTAATTTTTTTAATAATTAAATAATAATTTATGGGCCTATTTTCAAATTTTAGATTGTTCTTATTCATTAAGATAAAAAATCATACAACAAAATTTAAAGACACTTAAATTAAGTGTCTTTACTCAGACATTAAATAAAGTGTGATTAATATTATTAGTTAAAGTTATTAATAATAAATAATTAAATTAAATATAAGAAAATGATTTAAGGAATATAAATAAATATAATATATATATATATATATATATATATATATATACATATATATATATGCATATATACGGGTTGATAATGCACTCTCAACAAGTTTCATTGAAACTTAAAAATCGATATTTTTTATGATTGGGTTTGCACGTGGATTTGTCTTTTAAATGTAGAATAATTATATATATATATTTATATTTATATATATATATATATATATATATATATATATATATATATATATAAAGTACACATATTAAACAAATTAATGTTAAAACACCTGATGGCCAAATGCAAGTAAGCTCTCAGGTTAAATACCATGATCTAATTAAAGTGGCACATTCAAACAAATTTTCTATTTTTCCTGTAATTACCCGTACAAATTAAATTAAAATATAATCTCCATAAATATTTACCTGTTTCCTAGAAAGTTTCGATTTTGCGCGTTAATGAAGAAAATACATTTTGTCTTGGCAACCAGCAAGGTAAACAAGAAAACCATTTTCAGTTTTCCATTTTGTATTGGAAAAATCATACACAGTTCAGGTTTTCCTAAAAGAAAAAATATATTAGAAAATACTCTGTATATAATAATAGTAAAT